CTCCTGGCAGTTAGGTAATTGAAACTAAAATTGCAAGACTTATGAGAAGAACTGTGGAGGATGCTTTAGAGTATGTTTAAAAGGCATATTTCTTTCAGATTTACCTGAATGAAGGCACTGCATTTGGAATGAATTCCCATAAGTGTTTACAATAATGCTAGTGTGTTTGAGATCTGATATAGCCGAAAGAAATGCTTCCTTTTTAATTTTTTTTATTAAAAGTGTTGTACAAGACTAGAGGAGCTGTGATTGCTAGAGGTAACTGACTACTTTTGTAATGGAAGAAGCTGCTGTATCTCCAAAGTATAATACAAAATACTATTATTTGTATATAATACAAAATGTTTCCAAGTGTTTGGTGGTATAAAACACCATGCAGGATTTTACTGTCCTTAAAACCTTCAGTACTTGGTAGACAGTCTGTACCATTCAGATATGTGGGTTATCTCTCATTCTTTCTAGTCTTGTGAGAATACATACAAAGGATAAAGCCTCAGGTAATACAATTGTCCTTTTAAGCTTAAAGGGTAAATGGATGATCTTGATATTAAAGTGTAGTATTTGGAGCTGCAGACATCGTCTGTTTGTGATAGTGCCAAAATAGTGTGCAGCCAGCCTTTGTGTTTCCAGGGTAATCAAGAGATTGGTCACGAATATAAAGGCAAGGATATAGGTAATACGTAAATGAGGCTGTAAGGATGTTCTGTGGAAATGATCAGAGAAAGACACGACTTGAAGAGAAGACTGTAGCATGAGTGGTGTGCCTCATGTGAGATGATGGCAGTGGGGGATGTCCATGTCTTGCCACACTGCGCATCACATTACAGCTCATGGCTCTGGGTGCTGCCACTGCAAATCTCTGGTCCACCAAACTCAGGCATTTCTATTTGTCTCGGAAACTTCTCAAACAAGAATTCTTGCAGCCCTCCCTTGTCATGTCCTCTGCTCTCTCCTGTACCTGAGGATGGGGTTGGTGACTCCTGTGAGGGATAATTCTTTTTTTTTTTATGTGCTCTTCTCTGCTAGCAATCAAAACAGAAACAAAAGAAAAAAAGGAAAATAACTGGGAAAAACAGGGGTTAATACTGTAAAGTCTGTGGGTGCAAACAGGATTTTGTTAAAAGTGAAATGAGATTGGGTGGAGGTAGATAAAAAGAAATCTGAAATAATTGTTTTGTAGAATATGGCCTTTCCACATAGGCAGAAATCTTTCTCTTCACTTCAGTCTGAAGATAGTCAAAAAGAGAATCTCATCTCTTAATTAGAAAGAAAAATACTCATCAAACACATCTCATCACTGGAAAGCTAATGATTCACAGCTGCTAGTCTGAAAGGGCAGGCTTTTTTTCTGAACAGTAGGAAGCGTTAATCATTTTGGATGAGATTTCCTTTTAAAATATACTGTAGTTTTCAAAAGAATAGGATATTCAATATCCTAACTTAAATTATTTTTTGAAGTGTTGTACACCAGGGATAGTGTCATGTGTCTCCCTGAATGATCATTTAATGCAAGTGTCGCTCACTAAGAGTATCAGCTGATGTGATGTTGTAAATGGCCAGTTCATGCCTGTGACTCTGAAAATCTTGATCTCATGGGGGAGAAGAAAAAGTCCTTTCTTATATTCTTCTGTGTAGGAAATGGCAGCTATATTAAACTGTAACCTTTGAGACTCCCACTCCTCTCTTAAAATAGTTAGCTTGCTTCAGTAGTGATGAGGATCCTTTTTTTAGACAGAGTTAGAGCCATTATTTCCTTAGAAGATATCATGCCAGATACAGTCCATGTTCCACTGGATGCTTTATAGGCATGGGCAACTCGCAGAACTGTCCCTTTGTGCTTGTTCCTTAGCTTTTCTGGTTTGGGGGGTTTTTTTGGTTAGTTGTGGTTAGTTGTTTCTTTTTGTTTGCTTTTGGAGGTTTTGTATGTTTGTTTTGGTTTTGGTTGTTTATTTGTTTCTGGCCTATATTTGTTTAAGGGATGGATACATAGGTTTACTTCTCCATCATGCATGAAGGTTTCTACATACCACTTCCCTTCTTCTCTTTCACCCCAGCTATCAGGCCTTTTATTTGTAAGAACTAAATCCCCGAGTTTTCTTGATGTTCTGCACCAGATTTTGGGTTTGCTCATGTTTACTTAAAAGTTTTGTCTGATACCGGAAATCTGCTCGTTTTCTCCATTTGCATTTCATGAGTGCATGTCTTGTCTGGGAAGGATAACGAGACCATTTGTTTTGCAATGGCATCACTGTGCAGGTCTCACACAGAACACATCTCATTTTTGTTGTACTGTTTTGGTAGTGCCTGGCTGAGACAGGTGCCTAAAAGGAGGAACTGGTAAAAATTCAGCTGGACTAGATGGAAATTAAGGTGGCAGATCAGGGAAATCATCTTCAGGAGGTGGCAGGTGTAATATTCACGCTTTTGAAAGGTATATCCATACAAGTTTTAAAGTGGTAATATCTTAATATAATTTTTTACTGGCCCTCAGAGTATAGTACTAAAAGGAATTAATACCATTAAAGATCATTTGGCACTTAGAAGCTTCCAGTGAGAAGTGCTTGGATGAGAATTCATTGATATTCTGGAGTACAGGGTACATGATGACCATGTTCCTCAATGTCCTGTCAGGTCCATATTTCCTGAGACTGTGTAAGTTGTTAGCTTCTTTTCTCTCAGGAGATGGGGATTGAATAGTACTTCATTTTCTTTCCATCTTTTTAACCAAAGTTCAGCTTGGACCGTAAGAAAGACTATGCATTGCCATTTATCAACAGGTAATCTCTAGTATTTGCTTTTCTAATACTTGGTACTGTTTGCTGGCTTCCAGAGCACCCTTTGGTGTGCATACATTAACTCAGGGCATTTCTGGGGTTGAAGCATGCAATGTTTTTTGCTTTTCTTTTGAGACATGAAATCTGTTATAAGTTTGCTACATCAAATTTACCACTTTTCTGTAGTTAGCAAGCTCATAGAAGAGCTCTTGAATTCCATGGGCTCATTTGCTTTTTCATTACCAGTTCTAACAGATTTCCTTTTAAACTAAACAACCTAAAAAAGGCATTTTTCTTTCAAATGAAATAGTGTTAGAAGTGCCAATATACTCTTGTGAGTCATACACACTGTATGTTCAGTTCTTTTGAGTATTTATCATGTTTATCTTGCAGTTTCATAGGACTTTCATATACATAGCACTCAGTGGTAGAAAGTACAGGGGTGAGGTAAGTTAGCTGATCTTGAGAGAGAAGATTACCTAAGATATAGATTTTTTTTTCCTTCTATGCAGCAGCTTAAATTTGATAAGAACATTTTGTTTGTTTTAATGCCAAACAAAAAGCCAGCAGAAGACGAGTGAAATCCCAATTTTATTCTTATTCAGCTTTATATACATCCTGTGACTGATTTGGGAAAATGACCCACGTTTTAGTTAATCTGAAAAAAAAGGTAGTGCTTTAGGTTTGGAAGTTTTGTGACACTACACCCTCCTTCATTTTAGCAGGTATTAAAAATACAAATATTCAAAAGCTTAACTATTTGGATGGAGAAGGCTTATTAAGATTTAAGGATGTTTATCCAGCTGTGGTACATAGTGTGATTTGCTCTGACTTTTTTCTTTTTTTATGGGAAGAAAACAAACCTTAGTAATGACTACAGCTGGGTTTTAAGCTGTAAGGGGGGGGTTGTTCATAGGAAAATTGGAGATAAAAATTGTTTTTGTTTGACCCTATCCAAGTGAAATTATTTTTAGTTCTTTCCTGCAAACCATGAATTTTGTAGCAGCATCAGTAGAGGACAGTATCTAGACAGCAGTGTATGGAGCTGGTAGTGCAGATGGGTTTCTCCTGGTGTGCAATCCCTGTTTGGGGCCAATACTGAAGAGCAGCCCAAGTTGTTTAGGTGCACATCTCTGGGAGATATAACCCAGTCAGATTTCTGGCAGCCCCCAGTCATGGAGCACTTGAACTGTTTTGGGAAAACACTGCAACAAATTAAAGCTTTCAGAGGGGTGGACTTATGTGACTTCTCATCATTTTTTTAAATCCCGTTTTTGATGAGTCTGTGGTCATTTCAGTTTTGCTATGCTTTCATTAAAATGGTTGTACACTTTCAGCTTTTTCTGTGATTTTTTTACTAGTTTTCCGTGCAAAAGATTTTTTCAGATTGATACTTCTGCTTGTTTGTGTGACATTACTATGCCATGACCATGTTCTTTCTTCTAAACAGCAAATTAATTTTTATTCATTCCTGTGCCAACTTTGCACTGCTACAGGATTGTTTCAAAGCTAAAACCAGATTCACTGACATGTTGAGGTCTCCTTTAAATTAATCACATTCCTGTGACCTACAAGAAAGATGGAGAGGGATATTTTATGAGGGTATGTAGTGATAGAACAAGGAGTAATGGCTTTAAACTGAAAGAGGGTAGGTTTAAATTAGTTATAAGGCAGAAATTCTTTAGTGTAAGGGTGGCGAGACACTGGAACACGTTGCTCAGAGAAGTTGTGGTTGTCCCATCCTTGGAAGTGTTCAAGGCCAGGTTGGATGAGGCCCTGACCAGCCTGGTGTGGTGGAGCGTTTCCCTGCCTATGTCAGGGAGTTTGGATCTGGGTGATCTTTAAGGTCCCTTTCAATCCAAGTTATTCTGTGGTCCTGTGATTCGTGAAAATAACTAACTTTTCTGAGGATGTAATCTTATTTTTATGCTGTTTTGCATTTTTTTTGTCCACAAAAGCATTATTTTATGAGAGAACAATTAATATTCTTCTTCGACCATACTACATAATTTTTTCTTTTCCAAGAATTAAGGTAGGAAGCAATGGAAAGTGTAGCAGTTGTTTCATGCAGGTAAGTGTCAAGTCAGCAGAGTGGTTAAACAACTTTCCTGTTTGAGGAGAGGTGGGTTTTTTTTAGAATTGTTTTAATTTATTGGCTTTAACTGTGCACAAGAGTTTAATGTAATGCTGATCTGAATCACTTTTTTTTCCTGCTCTGTCTTCTAGCTTTTTCTTTTTGTGGTCTGGAACTTTGAGCTCTACATGATACCACTGGCTTTGTTGTTGCTGCTGGCATGGAACTACTTCTTGATCGTATCAGGGAAAGATAATAGGCAACATAATACAGTAAGTCTTCTCTACTTCAAGGGCGTACATGTCCTTTTCTTTTTTTAGCTGGGCAAAATTTTTAAACAGAATTTAAATATTACATCTTTTTGAGGATCGTTTGAAACAAGACAGTTTCAGACTGGAATGTATGCAGCTTTTCTAGCAAACTTTTTTACCTTAAGAATTGTCAAGCCATGAAAGAGGTAGCCCAGGAAAGTGCAGTAGCTGTTGGAAGTTTTCAGGACCTGGCTGGGTAGAGCTCTGAGGAACCTGATCTGACCTCATGGCTGAGCCTGCTTTAAGCGGGGGTTTGGAGATCTCTTCCAGCCTGAGTGATCCCCTAATGTCTAGCAACTGCAATTATTAGTGACCAGAGGAACCCACACAGCCCTGATTCCAGCACTGTTGTTACCTGTCTACATCATCGAGACTGTTGTGCTTTCAAGGGTCATCTAAAATTAAGGGTGGGATTGATAGAGGTATTTCCTAATCCCAGGTGTTGTTACCTGTATGGAAAAAAGCCCAAGATCAAGATTTAAAAGATGCAATACTTAAAATACAGCTGCTAGTCTCCCGTTGCCTGAAATACTTAAGGCTTTTCAACCTGAAGATTTCTTAGTAACCAAAATGAGAAAAGAGAGATTTCACTTGTGAACTGTAATACACCTGATTTCTCTCTGAAATACCACCTGCCTGTGAAGATTAATTGGGTTATGTAACTTTTCTAATGAAGCTAGTGATGGACTCTCTGTGAGAACACTAAACGATGCTCAAAACTGTTCCTCCTGCTGAGAGTGCTTCTGACCAAGCTATATATTAAGCAACTATGTAGATCCCAAATCTCTGATATCTGTGCCATTAATGACTGCTTTTTCTTTATGTTTATCACAAGTAAGTTGGGACCTTGGTTATCCTCATGTTGAGCATCTGGCTTTTATGAAGTCTTCTGCAGAGGTATTGGATGCCTTTCTAATTAACTCATGATCTTCAGTAATATCTCGAGTGCTTAGCTCAGGTCATTAGCACAGTGTCATTAGAATAGTGGTAATTTAAATATTTCTGTTTTCCTATGCAGAGTGTAAATATTAAGTAAATTAATTAAGTTTCCTAGTGGTTAGAGAATGCTTCAGCATTCACATGATCTGGCTTCTGTTCCCAAGTCTCAAGATTCCTTGTAGGCCTCAGTAAAATCATTGACTACTTTCTGAGGAGTATCATCTGTCTCTAAAAGTTACTCTGAAATCCTAAAGCTAATTATAAAGATAAATGTATTTGTGAACTTCACTTAATTAACATTAGACAAGCATAGTTAAAAATTGAGTATAGTTGTCTAAGTCCCCAGACCCAGCACAAAAACATCCAGCAAAGAGCAAAGAAAAAAAACTATGAAAAATCCAGACTAGCCAAACTATATTAAAATAAATGTATTTATGTATATTACAGTTATATACAGTTGAAATACTATATACAATCCCAAAAGGGAAAGAGAAAGGAAGGGGAAGGGAAAAAAAACAAAAAACCAAAACAGATGTACACAATCAAAAAAACAAAAAAACCTCAGGATCTAGTAAACTAAAGAATTAGCAAAAGAATATCTTACTACTTTCCTTGGGATAGCACAGTCGCCCAAACGCCGCCACCACACTACCAGACTCCGGATCAGCAGGAACAACAGGCCCCGTAGGCCCAACCAGGCCTCAACTCCCCCACAGAAGCGAGACCAGCTGTGGGGAATCTGCTGTCTTCAAACCTCGCCAGAAGGGAAGAGAGGAAGAGGCTTCTCTCTCCGTCTGTTTATATGTTTGGATTACATAAAGGAATAGGATGGAATACTTCCTTCCTTCCTTCCTGGCGACCGGGAAGGAAGGCCTAAACTCAAAACCATTACAATAGTTTGTACTTTTTTAATGTCTATGGAACACACTTAAATTTGGGACCATCAAAAGTAGCTTGGAAAAGTTGGTTTCCATTACAATATCCCACGAGAAAGCAATTGTCGGTTGTCTCTTCAGTTTGGGCTCTAGGAACCACACTCTTCTGCAGGTCAGTGATTATTTATCAGAGTTTCTGTCTGGATATGGCAGAAAGACCAGCTTTAACTCATCCTTGTTTGACCATCTCTATAGACAAGGTATCATTTGCTATCTCCTCTTGGGCATCAGTTTTTTTGAAGCAGTTTGGAATTTATTTCCTTGTGGAATAATTTACCTGCCAAACAAGGGTATGGGTTACTCTGTCATAGAATGAACCTATGCTTCCTGTTTGAGTGCAAGTATGATTATTTTGTCATTTACTCTGACTCCTAATAAGTTATATGTGCAAGTCCTTTCTTGAATTCAGGGTGTACTGAGATTGGGGCAAGGGGGAGTCCCAAGTGTATTTACTAGTAGGAGATAAGTGTATTGGAATGCCCAACAGAGGTGGAACAGCATATTAGGCATTATTGCCTTCATAAATTCAGGTGGAGTCTTTGTAGGATTGATGATCATTCTGGTTATAGTCCAACACTGACACCAACTTCAAAAAGAACTATTGGATTCCCTATCTTTCATACATTTAGATCAAGATGAGTTGTGTTTCTGAAGGATATGCTTTCATGAAATAGAAACTCTTACATTAAACTTTGGTGTAAGCAACTGTAGATAGATGTAGATTTAATGGATGGTTCTCTAATTGAATCTGTGAGAATTCAGAACTGAACTAAAACAATGAGCTTCATGTGGTAGGTATAAAAAATCAGATTTAAATATTTCCTACCAGTATTAACTGAGGGAAAACTATCACTAGAATGGAATTCCTAATGCCTTCCTCTGAATTTTGCATTTTTGCCTGAAGTATACCCAGCTTCTTTCTCCAAGGATCCTTGTTCTTCCTTATAATCATACTAGTTGGGGTCAAAAACTAAGTGATCCCAGATATGGGTAGAAAACTGAAATGCGTTATTGAACACGCACTTTGCAATATAAGGGTCTTGGGGGCGGGACATGTTAATGAGGAGGACGAGCTATGTTAATTAGGGAATTACACAAGTTTTTACTACTGTTGCCAAATGGGTTAATATTTCCCTCAACCAGGATTACATAGGGAGAAAGGGATTAAAGGGCCTAGACATGGTCTGATACAATCATTTAAAAAGTCCTTACTTATTTCTGCTGCAGGAGCCAGGCTAAATCCATAAGGTTGACTCTTTAACAAGTCTTGTGAAAAGGATTCTTGTCAGCCACTGTTGCCCAAGGTTTATGGCTCTTTTCTGCAGATATTATATTTTGGGATCCTGCACATACTCCTTAATATCTGACCTCACAAAATAATTTATTTTCAGCACAACTGCTGTTCCACTATTAAACTATAATCATCTAAACATACAAAACTAGAAGTGAGTGAATCCTACTTGTTTGGTTTTATTTTCTTCCCCTGCCTTTTTTCCATCATCTTTTTCACATCCTCTGTGGGAGAATTATCAACTATTACCATGTTTCTGTCCCCACCGCCTGCTGCTTCTTGTCATCTGCTCTGGATCTATGTGGTGGGGAGCAGCATGGAAGTACTACCCCTACACATTGCCAGCTCTTTGCCTATAGAAGGTGCAGGGTACAGAGCATGACATGGTGACAGACTGGAAACTAACAGAAAATGTGCCGGGGTTTAAAGCTTATTTTCAGTATTTTTAAGAATCTCTTTAATATTTTGATGATTCCAAATATCTTGTACAAAAAAACTCCCTCACCTTTGTAGCTTGGAGAAAACACCAGTGCTGCTGTCTGGTATCTGGAGTCTTTTCCTACTTCTAAGCAAAATTCATAGTCAGAACTGCATTAAGTTAATGGGGGGAAAAAATTCTTTATTAATTTTCTCCCGCACTGCTACTTCAGGCTGCGTTTTGTGTTTTCTGACTGCCTGCTGGAGCTGTCTAACTTAAAGAATAGTCAAATAATCCCTCAGAATGTTCCCTCTCTCCAGCTCTTCATGGCTATGGATCATTTTTACCCTGTGTATGTAGGCCTGGATGCTACAATTAGGACAAACCACGACAGTCTCTCAGGTGTTGGGCTATAATGTTTAACAGCTGTAACAGGTACACTGGATCTCCTCTGATAACAGATTCTTGTTCTTCCATGCAAATTCTTGCTCTTCCATGACCAGATAGGGAGTAGACAGGGACCCCAGATCATCTTCTCTTGCATACTGTCATTGAGGAGGAAGGGCTAGAAGAGAACTGGACAGATCTGGGAGGGCAACAACGACTTGTAAAGCTTTTACTGACAGCAGGGACTTGGTTTTTACAACTGTGGGATCCTCCTTGAGGATTGAGAACTGCTAGGAAGAGATCTACCTCACCACTTGGGGCAAAATCTTCTTTCTCAGATGGTTGTCCAACCTAATGAGTAGAGCATTAACTAAAAATAAAGGGAGAGGGTGATGATGACCTACAGTCAAATGAGGAATCACAGAATAGATTGATTTGGAAGGGACCTTCAGAGGGACACCTTCTACCAGACTAGGTTGTTCAAAGTCTTGTCCAACCTGGCCTTGAACTCTGCCAGAGATGAGGCATTCACAGCTTCTCTGGTCAACCTGTGCCAGTGCCTTACCACTCTCACAGTAAAGAATTTCTTCCCAATATCTAATCTGCCTTCTGTCAGTTTGAAGCTATTATCCCTTGTACTATCAAGAAAGTGGTAGTCTGAGTTGGCAAGCAAAGGGTGCAGGATGAATGGACAGGAGAGCCCTCAAAACCAACCCAACAGGACAGAAGGTCTCCACTGCAGGTGAGGGCACACAAATGCCTCTGGAAGAGGCTCTCACACCCTCCCTGAGAACCCAGCATACCAGAGGTCTCTCCCTGAAGTGCCTGTACACTGGTGTGCACAGCATAGGAACCAGTAGGAGTTAGGGGTCCATGTGGGGCTACATTCATGCATGATCACAGGGATGTGGTGAAATTGTTCTCATGTCTATCGTGCAGTGGACGTATACTGGCTTTTTGGTCAAGACAGGCTGGGAAAGTGGGAGAGGGA